GTCTTTCTTTGGAATGAATTTAAAGAAGGCTAGTGTCAAAATCTTTGTAAAGCCTTTAAGGCACCAAATCACTACTTTACTATGTCTTCACTTTTAAACATCTCTTTCCAATTTTGTTTTAGTTTTGCTTTTCCAAAGACTTATTTCTTTATGCACAGTACAGTAATATGGTCTTACAATAAGTCACAGTGAGGGAGTAAAAGATTTTTTTCTATCATTTCCTAATGAGCTATTGTTACACATAATTTTACCTAACTCTAACTGGACTAATGATTAATACCACAGATCTTTTCGCATTATAAACTCTTATCTCCCACAGTCCTCTATGTGAAAATCACAAATCCTTCTTTTATTGACTATATTAAGATTATTTTTGTTTTCAAAAATCCATCCTAATTTATTCATGAGATTTTTGGGGGGTGAGGTTTATAACTTTATTTGAAAATTAACAGTTAGTACTCATCCACATTGAGTGGTTGTAGATTTTTGAAAGTGGCAATAGGTACATAGGTCACCAGAGTGTAGAGTTTGTTGGGTGAATCTTCATCCTCATTACGTTTTCTGGACAACTGTGCACAGATACAATATGGAATGTTTCTTATTCCTTTGGCCCAGACAGCATTGTTGAGGCTGGTATCAATGTGCACATCTGGAGTCCTTCATAGCAAATTACCGAATTTCTTTGCATGCTCAAGGGGCATGTTTCTTGAAGCTCACACCATGGATGCACTTGTGAATATTAATGGTATATTCCCAGGTCACCACCTTATTGATGGCAGAACAGCGCTTGTTCTTCTTGCCACCCTTCTTTGTGGGAGCCACTCTGCCCAGCCTAAGTTGGAAAGAAAGATGGCAAAGACTAGACTTTGTTTTACATTTTTTTTGGAGAGGTTTTTGTTTGTCTGTTTGTTTTTTGCTATAGGGCACATGTGCTCGCAAGAAAGACAGAGGTACAGAAAGCAAGAAATCTCACACACACACACCAAGCATATGGCCAGGCCGCAATCCCTTCTCCTCCAATCTCCTCTTGGGATCTTGGGCACGCATACACACGCACCCGACATGAGTTTAAGCCACTAGGTCTGGGACTCAAATCACGGTTGACTAAATGGGAGTCCAGCGACATAGTCATTACACCAACTGCTGGTCCCTGTTTTACAATTTTAGTCAGTTTTATTTCTCTTTGGAACTGTACTTCACAGTAAAGAACATCATAGACAATTCAACATATACTTCCAGAACAACCAGCACAGTGAGTTTCAAATGTTCACAACATAATATAAGGTTAAATGTTGAGGGTACTAAATATGTTTTTATCCTCAATTTGTTTATTACACACCATATAATGCTTTTAAAGTCTATTCTGTACCTTACAAATATGTGTATGAATAGATATAAATTATAATAAATAATTTTTAAAAACAGAAATAAAAAATAGAATACACATTCAATTACCTCAGAACTCTTTGTCTAGACCTGCATGTTAGATCAGTATGAGGCACAGCACCTCTGCTTTTATGGTTCACAATAAAGATCATACAAGCTCCTAGGCCTTCCTAAGATTGAAGAAGCTGAAACTCACTAAGGGGAAGACAGGTGAAAATGTGATACGTGGAAATTTCCCTAAGAACTAGTAAAAATTCCTGCAAGTTAATTATGTTGTACTCAGAGACAGCATCATTGTTTCAAGGAGCATTATTTTTTTTCATTCATGATAGAAAACTGTGCACCTGCACAAGAGAAAGAGAGAGGGGAAAAAAAGAAACACCCTCCACAGGTTTTAGTCATACCATGATCCCCTTTCTCCAATCTTTCTCCCACCAGGATCATGGGCACACACTCACACACCCAGTTGACCAGGACCAGGCATTGAAACCATGGCTGCAATGCCAGTTCTGAAATCCAGTACACTACTGACTGCCACAGACGTGGGCCACGGAGCATTTACTGGGAGACAGCTATAGACCTCATAGTTGATAGACAAGTGCTTGGTCTTGACCTGTGGGTGATGGAGAGTAGTGTGTGAAGAGCTTTGAAATATGAATCTTAGTCTTAGACATGAAATGACTTTGGGAAAGGACATTCCAAGCAAGCAGGGGATAATCTAAAACATCACAGAGAGACAAGAAACAGCATATGAGTTCAAGAAAATAAAAGCAGCATGATTGTTAGTAAAATTGACAGGCAGTGATGGTGAGACTAATACGTAATAAGTGCCAATAAATATTGTATGCTGAATGAGAGGCAGATAGAAGCAGAGGACTTTACATTCCTTCTACACTAAGATATTTAGGTTTGTCTTGCAGGCAACGGAGAACCACTGATGGGAGAGGAATGTACTCAGACTTAGGTTGTACCTAAGTGCTATGATGTTATATCTAGGTTATCCTATGTGCTATGAAAAAATAATTTAGGGCAACAAGAAAAACATAGAAGACCAGAAAGAGACAATGGTCCTAGAGAGAGAGAAAAGTAAATGACTTGGAGAAGTCAGAGCTGAAATAGTGCCTGATGAGTGATTAGGTGAGAGGAGCAACAAAGAAAAAATGGAGCCATAGGCTTTTAGGGTAATAAAATTCTTGATAATGACACCAGTTTATAAGGAAAGTGCATGGAGGACCAGCCAGGTGGTGTGGTGTTTAAAGTGGCTGGATCCCACATGGCCAATTGTACAGTTCAAGTCCCATACCTGGCAGCTTAAAAACTATGCCAGGTACATGTACATGCCTGCTCAAAAATCCAAAACGAGAATGGAAGAGAGGGGATGCGGTGTGAGAAGTGGTGTTTTCTCACTTTTTCTCTCCTCTCTGTCTCTTTCTCTCTGCCTCCAGCAAGCACATGTGCCCAATAACAAATTTAAATAAATACATAAATAAATAAAATTTTAGACTTAAGAAAAAAAACCAAAGTGCATAGACAGCAAGTAACTACTAACTTCAACTTTGAACACGTTGAGTGGAGCACTAGGTGAAGATAAACCTTAGCAAACATGTACTGAGCTTTCCTGTACACCAAGAGCAGTTGTAAGACCCTACATTCTTGAATTTGCTGCATCTTCACAACAGTCCTCATGAGGTAGATGCTATTTCTAACCTTTTTATTTTTATTTTTTTTATAGAAACAAAAACAAGGTGCAGAGTGTTTAAGACCTTGTAAATGACAGAGTCAGGTTCAAACCCGGTCAGGTTCCAAAACATGCCCTCTTAACCTCTGTGCAAATGGGTATGTATTTGCTATAAGATGAAAGCCAAGAGCCCTCACTCTGTCTCTTCCCAGAGAAATAAAACACGCACAAATAAAGAATCAAAGTAATGATTTAATTTTTTAAATACACATAATGCAAGAAAACCAACCATTGGGTTATGAATGCCATTATTGTTAGTGCTATAACACATAGTTAAATCTCAATCCACATTTTAATTTACATCTGGTCTTCAAAAAAAAGCAAGATATAATTTTTGTATTCATTTGTCAAGTCATGATTCTCTATATAATTTATTTAGAATAAATTAAAAAGTGTACACCACTTGTTAAACAGAAAAGTTAAAATTGGTTTTTATTTGTTGTATAAGTAATATTACAGAACATAGTAATATATACAGATTTCAATATGATCTTTAATAATAGACCCAGCCTGATGGCGGAGGAAGTCAGTACTAACTGAACTACAGTTCTGGAAGCCATAGACTACTAGCACGTTCAAATCCCTTGGTCGGCTTATAATCATTCCAGGTGCATGCCCAAGATCCTGTTGAGCTGGAAACCTGGGGAAAGGTGTCAGAGGGTAATGAGACTGTCAAAGTGCTTTTCTCACTCCCCTGCCCTTTCTTGTGTGCACACATGCACGATCATTCATAAAATTAACTTTTAAAAATTATTTAATAGTAATCTATCTAAAACTTACTTTTGTTCTGCCTAAAATCACTTCTTTACTTTCTAATTATTTCGCAAAAATACAATGAATTCTTTTTTAATTCCTAAGAGGGTTTAGGAGGATATTTATTACTGTGAAATGGGTTTGAGTTTTAAAATGTTAGGAGCTACTGCTCAGTACCAGGATGTAACTTCTGTCACTTTAAGATACAGCCCATAGGTCATAGTGACCCATGAGCAATGACAATGATAAATCTGAAATCTTTTCATTCTGAGGTTTGTGCTGGAGGGTTTGGCTTTGTCTCCTTGCTGTGTGACTACTATAGTACGGTTAGTACAACCATGCTTAGCTGATGAGCTAATCTGTTAAGAATTCAATGCTACGTGCATTTGACTTTAATCTTTCATAGATCAAGACATAGCACAGCCCTCTTTGAAAACATAGGTTAAGTAGAAAAGACATGTGATGCATTCCCAGAAATGGAAGAAAAAACTTTTAACTTCCTTCCTGGGGTAACTGAGATGCTAGAACTTACTGTAACCTTAACATCAGGCAAAAGGAGGGTCTTGACCTTTGGCTACTCCTTCTTTCACTACCATGAATTTTCTCCCACTTTCTGGCTATGACACAAGTTTTGTTCCTGGGACCAGCAGCTGGCGTAATGGCTATGTCGCTGGACTCCCATGTCGCTGGACCCGTTGGCTTAAACTCATGCCGGGCACATGTGCGTGCGTGCCCAAGATCCCAAGAGGAGAATGGAGCAGAAGGGATTGTGGCATGGCCATCCTCCCTGAGGGGTGATTTCTTGCTTTCTGTCTCTCTGTCTCTGTCTTTCTGGCAAGTGCACGCAGCCTACAGCAAAAACCTCTCCAAAAAAAATGTTTTGTTCCTTGAGATGTGGCCTTCAGAAAAGCTGAATTCAAGCAGTGTAACACAGGGTTCTAGAGAGCTCATGCATGACGACTGAGCAATTGAAATATGCTACAGTACAGAGAAGGTAGATTTTTGTATTTTACTTTAATTATTTTAAGCTTAAATTTTAAAACGTTACCAGTTTTACTTAATGAAGAATTTCTGAATATGTTTAGAATAACTTTGTATTGTAAATTGTGTGATATCTAAATACAAATCAAGTCTCCAAACTAAGATATGCTGTAAGTGTTAAATACACATCAGATTTCAAAGATTTGGTACAAAAAAAGAATGTACACTCGACCTTTTACATCTTTGGTTTCTTCTTCTGCAGATTCGAACAACTGTGGATCAATTTCCTCCCCATCTGTGGATGTGGAACCTGCAGATACAGATGGCTGGAAGAAACTTGAGTATCTGTGAATTATGGTATCCACAGGGGTCCAGGAGCTAATCCTCCGTTGATACTGAGGAACAACTGTAAATGTCTCATTAATCATTTTTATGTTGATTACATGTTAAAATAACATTTTGGCTACATTGAGTTAAGTAAAATATATTATTAAAATTAAGCTCACATATTTCTCTTTATTTTTAATATCACTATTAGTACACTTTAAATAATATACAGTCTTCCAAAAGTTTATGAAAATAGATATTATGAAAATACTGTGTTCATATTTCAATACTTTTTTGAAAAGGGGTATGTGCACATGCCAGAGAGTGAAAGAGAGGGAGAACCCCCCCCAACAGGCTATAGTCCCTTCTTTTTCATTTATCCATCCTATTGGGATATTGGGCACACATACATGTATCCAGTGTGTCTTTCCAAATGCAGGAGCCAAGACTCAAACTGTGTGGTTGGCTATGTGGGACCCAGCTTCCTTAACTACTGTATCATGGGATGGGCCTTCAAGATTTTCTTGTACCAGCAATAAAACACATCAATGCTGTCTCTATCGGGAAACTGCAAGTATTGCCTGATTCCTGCTTGGTGTCTGGAGATCTTCCTAAGTATGCCAGGTATGTGCTTGACCCTCATCTGGGCTGGCTTGAGGGTAGATTATAACATTGAGACTCTGTTGGGGATGCTGTTTTGTCTGTGTCTCTCTTGCTCATGAAAGGAATAAAAAAATAAAATAAAAAACCTATATTTCATTTTAAAAACAAATACATACTTGAATTCCATTTTTTTATGAACTTTTTGAAATCCCCGCAAATGTGGTTCACATTATTTCTACCAGACAGCTCTGGTCTATAGCATGAATGATGGTGTCAGAAGAGACTCAGCTCTGCCCAGGGGCTGGCTGTTGACTTTAAGCAATCTACTTAACTTTTTAAACCTCTTCTCTCAACTGTAAACTGAAGAAGATATTACTATCATTTGAACAGTATTTATGAACAGTGAATTTTACATAATTCAGCGAACAAAAAAGTTTACCACAGTCTCTGACTCATAGAAAAATATCCTATAATGTACACTTTTAGAATTGTTCTAATCACTATTCTTTAACAATCATCTAGAAGTTTAGCAAAAGAATACACCAAAATAAATGTTACTTGCCTATGGGTTGACTCTGGTGTCTCATGACCAGATAAAGTAACCTCATTTTCCAAAATGAAAAAATTATTTGAGGTCAGAAATAGGTTGTTTTCATATTTGTAAGTTTATTTACATTTTTAAATCACAATTTTTAGTTAATGAAATGCTTTTATTTAAAACGATGAAATTACTTAAAATTCAGACTCTCCTGGAAAATCCAGCGCATGAGATCTACACCTAAGAAACAGTAATGGTCAGTATTTCAAAGGACACAAACTCACCAATCCTCCATTTAGGTATAATTTTGAAGGTTAAAGTAAGGAGAATATTGCAAATAACTCTACACATCATTTCATAGGTTAGATGAAATGAATCAACTCTACAAAAAGCACAAACTACCATAACTCTTCCAATAGGAAATCAAGAATTTGAAACTCCTCACCCCTATTAATAAAACTGAATTCTTGGGAGCAGCTAGGTGGAGTGGTGGGTAAGGCGACTGGATCTGACATGGCCAACTGTGAGGTCTGAGTCTCAGACCTGGTGGCTTGAAAAACACTCTGGCTATGTGATCATGCATGCCCAAATCCTGAGAGGGAAGGGATTGTGGTGTGGCCATCGCCCAGGGAGTGCTTTCTTGCTTTTCGCTTTTCTCTTCTCTCTTTCTCTCTCACTCTCTCTCTCTCTCTCTCTCTCTCTCTCTCTAAGAGCCTATGCCCTCTAGCAAATTAAAAAATAAATAAATAAAGGGAAAAAAAGAAATATAAAAAAGAAAAGAACAAAAATTGAACTTCTAATTTTAAAACACCCAAAACTTCCAGGCCCAGGTAGTTTCTCCGAAGTATTCTACCAAACGTGTAAAGAATTTATACCAATTCTACACAATTTCTTCCAGAAAATAAGGAGGGAATAAATGGGCTATTTTTTAGTTTACCTGGCCTCTTTGCTCCCGAACAGGCAAGACACCTTCCCCACTCAGGGGAAGCCTGAGTCCACACTGCTCCTTTGTCCAGGATGCTCCCCAATCATGCCCATTCACCAGACTCCTTCCCATCACTCGTCTGATCACAGCTTATACAGCCCTGTGCTACTTCCTTAGGGAAGTTCAAGGCAGATGAGGGACCTTGTCTTGTGCAATTATAGCTCCTTGTATGTTTCTGCTGCGGTGTTTATTGCAGTTTTAGTTAATTATTTGCAATTACATGTCTAAGGTCTGCCTCTCTCTCTAAGCAATAAACTGTAAAGTATTAGGGCAGGGAACTAGACAGCCTTATTCACTCTGTCTCTGGCTTGGAGCCCAATGACATGTTTTTTGTTTTCTTTTCTTTTCTCTTCTTTTTTAGACTTTTGCCATAGGGCATGTGCACTCACCAGTATTGACAAGAAGAAGGAAGGTGAAAAACCATCCCCCAGGGGCATGGCCACATTACAATCTTTCTCTTTTATTCTCCTCTTGGGATTTTGAGCACGCGTGTACACACATTCTGTCTGTTTTTCAAGCTGGGGATCCAGGACTCAAACTGACCATATGGGATCCAGTGCCTTAAACACCATGCCACCTGCTGGCCCAAGCCCAGTGCCTTTGCTCTAGATATCATTAGATGGGTATTCATTGAATGTGTTAGGATTCTCCAGAGAAACAGAACAAATAGAATGTATATTTATCCACAAATATGTAAATAACATAAAATCAATAAGTTAAGCATATTGATACACACATGCACACAAAGAGATTCACTGTAAGGATTTGGCTCACCTGATTATGGACACTGACAAGTCCCAAATCTTCAGGGTGAATCAGCAAAGCTAGAGACCCAAGAGAGATGCTAGTGTAGTTCAAGTCTAAATCTGAAGGCTGGAAATGACAGAATGGAGACCCAGTTAGAATCAATGTCAAGTCCAAAGGCAGTTTTAAAAAGCTGATGTCTCAGTTCAAAGTCAGTCTGGCAGGATGAATTCTCTCTTGCTGGGAGGTATAAGAGGAGGAGTCTTTTTTGTTCTATTCAGACCTTCAGTGAACTGGGCGAGGCCCATACACATTGAGAGAGCAATTTGCTTTAAAGATGCAACTGATTAAATTCTTTTCTTTATTCATTATAGAGAGGAACATGCTCCTCTGTATCTGGTCACACCATGATCCTCTTCCTCTAGTCCTCTAGTCTGTCAGATACTGAGTACTCACAGGGGCCCCCAAGTTGATCAGGCTGGGAATCTTAACCTTGGTCCCCATGAGAGATCTTGCTTCTCTTTAGCAGTGCATCACTGCTGCACCACGGAGCTGACCCACGCTACTGATTTACGTGTAAATCTCATCCAAATCATCCTCACAAAAATACACCCAGATTAATATTTGAGCAAATATCTGGGCACTCCATGGTCGAGTCAAGTTGACACCGAAAGTTAGCTCTCACGTTGAGTTAAAAATAAGTGAACATAGAAAAGAAAGATTCCTTTGTGTAATTATTCTATCAAGTGTTATAGCCTAGTATGTTCATGCATCCCTCAGGCAAAAAGAAAAAAAATTTTAAAAAGTCATAGTCTATGGCTAAAGTTTATCTCTGTCTTTAGTTAAAAAATATATAGCAGCTAAATTCACCAGTGAATTCATGGTATTAGCTAGGCTTTGGACTTGAATGATATGTAGTAACATAACACCATTAACTGAGTGTTTTCCTTTGTGCCTATTATCTCTCATCTTCCCAACAAGTCTGTCAGGCTCAGAGAGTTTGTACAATGTGCCCAAGGCCATATAGCTAGTAATGGCACAACCATGACGGAAACTCATGTTTGTCTTCAGAGCTCAAAATTTTACCCACTTAAGTGCTTCCTGTTAAGAAAACAAAGTTGGGCCAGCCAGGTGGTATGGTGGTGGAAGTGGCTTCCTCCCATGTGCCCAACTGTGCTGTTTGAGTACTGGACGTGGTGGCTTGAAAAATACATTGGGCATATGTGTATGACCTGGATCCAGAGAGCAGAGTGGAGGAGAAGCGATTGCTGCATGGTCCCTTGGGGGGGTTGCTTCCTCACTTACTTTCTCTCTTTCTCTCTCTCTCTCTCTCTCTCCACTACCTTCCCCCCCCACACACAGCCTCCCATCTTTCTCTGGTGAACACACACACACCCTGTAGCAAATTAAAAAACAAAGTCAATAGGATTTCTCAACATTGTGAAACAACTTGCAGGCCAGTCATTTATAATTTGAGTCAATCCAATTTTCTTGTTAATAAAATATAAAAACACCATAGGGGTTACTGAAGTATTAACAGAACTAATGAAATATAGGAGTTTAGCATGGCACCTGGAACACTCTTAAACATGGGGACATAATTCAAGATATCTCAGTGGATGCTGAAATCATGGATAGTACCATATGTACTATGTTGTTTCCTAGACATATATGCCTCTGATATAGTTAAATTTATAAATTAGGCACAGTAAGAGATTAATAACAATAATAATAAAATAGAACAACTCTTGCACTTGGAGGTCATTATTAAGCAGGATAAGGATTACTTGAACACAAGTACTGCAATACCACAATGGTTGAGCTGATAACCAAGACTCACTAAATGACAAATGGGCAGGTAGTGTCTACCAGTGTAGATAAACTGGGCAAAATGATAATTCACATCCTGGAACCGAATGCATGAAAAGTGAAACTGCAGATAAGGGATGACCACTGTAGATGTTGAATGCATGCTAATGTGTAGCAGCTATTGCTCAAATTCTATTTGCTTATACCTGCATCTGCTTTTGCAGGCTTCCAGCCCCCTGTAAAATCCTCCTTAATTATTTCTGTAAATAATGGGAGGGAAAGGCATCAGGGAAGGAGCAAATTAAATGTATTCACAGTTAAGTCCACCTGCCACAGCCTCCTCATGGCCAGCAGCTACAACACTCTTCCCCCCACCTGCTCACTCTCAACATATTCTACACACATACACACATAGTCCACCCTCATAGCAATGGCCCCTTTTGTTCCAGAAGATCCTGTGGTCTGACCAGGGGATGCTATCTGAGACTGGCACCAGGTTGCCCTTCTTTTTCCTTAATCCTTCTCTGAGCAGATCCTTCTAACTCAAGCAAGTCAATTTATGCTAATAGATTCCTGCAGGTCATTGGGCCCACCAACTCTTAAATGGGACAAACATAGCCATTTCCTGGCTTAGTCACAGACTGGGCAAAACAACAGAATTTGCTACCACTTTATATAACAATAATGATCATCTGAGTCTTCAGAGAGTCATAATCTTTTTGCTAGTGGAGGGTCTTACTTGATGTTGATAGCTACCAAATGATCAAAGTGGTGGTTACTGAAGGCTGCAGTGGCTGCAGCAATTTTCTTCAACTAAAACAACGCTGATCTTTACCACACAGATTAACCCTTCCTTGCAGGAAGGATTTCTCTGTAGCACACAATTTTGTTTGATAGCATTTTTACCTACGCTGGAATTTCCTTCAAAACTGAAATCGATCCTCTCAAATCTTTCCCGTGCTTTATCAAGTAACTTTATGTAATAATCTAAATGTTTTGTTGTCATTTCAACTGATGTTCACAGTGTCTTCAACCAGAAGTAGAATCCATCTAAAGAAACCACTTTCTTTGTTCATCCATAAGAAATCACTCTTCATCCACTCATTTTTCCATGAGACTATAGCAATTCAGTCACATCTCAGGCTCCACTTCTAGTTCTTTTGCTATTTCTAGCACATCTGCAGTTACTTCCTCCACCAAAGTCTTGAGCTCTTCAAAGTCATCCATGAGAGTTGGAATCGACTTTTTCAAAACTCCTCTCGATGTTGATATTTTTACTTTCTCCCAAGAATCACCTTTTCAAAAGTTTATTTATTTGTTTTTGTTTTTGTTTTTTGTTTTTTGTTTTTACTTCATGAGAGAGGAGACAGATACCTCTAATGAAGTTTCAAAAGTTTCAGAATGCCATGATCCTCCACCCCCAGACTGCCGGTCTGCCAGCCTGCCAGCCAACCAGGATCACAGACATGACTGTGGGCATGTCCACCATGTTGAGCTTGCATCAGGATCTGAACCCAGGATCCAAACCAGGGGTTTCCCATGACTCCAATGTCACACATTAGTCCCCTTATTACTTGTGTCACCACAGCCGGACCCAAGAATGTTCTTAATGAAATCTAGAATGGAAAATCCTTTCCAGAAGTTTTTCAATTGACTTTTTCCAGATCCATCAGAGGAATCACTATCTATGGCAGCTATAGCCTGACAAAATATATTCCTTAAATAATAAGACTTGAGAGTGAAAAAATCACTCCTTGATCCATGGGCTACAGAACAGATGTTATGTTCACAAGCATGAAAATAATATTAATTTCCTAATGTATCTTTTTCAGAGCTCTTAGGTGACTGAGTACATCATCAATGAGCAAGTTTTTATTTTTTGTTTTTTATTAGTTGTCAGAGGGCAACTG